TATTTACTTGTATCATCCTAATTAATACACATGTATAATATGTTTTCACTTTTTATGTACGTCAATTATGGTACTTTTAGTAATATATAAATTCCACATCCTTGTTAAACAAAATATAAGCTTAATAAGCTAAAAAAACACCATTTGTGAAGCATGAGCCTGAATACGTCTCAGACGACAAACGTTATACAGATATACATCAACATGTTGATAATTTATAATAACACATAAAACATAAATTGGTGAGTTTCTATACGAAGTGAACGACTGTGACTGGGTAAACACGGTCCAAGATCGAAGGATCAAATGGTTATCGCGCCGATAGAGATTTCGTAATGAATTTCCCATCAATACACAAGCATGATAACTACAAATTCAGCTTTTAAGTAATATGTAGACAAGCTCGTTCTTTACATAGAATAGTCAAAGACCCTGGGTCATTTTCACAGACGGGTTCGTCTGCAGCTTAATCGGAAAAACAAAGAGTAAATGATAAAAATAGATGAGTCATTCAAGAAACAAAGAATTTCTAATCATATTTGATAATTTAATTCATGTTTTTCGTGTTATTAGTGGCATGCGTCAACATTGACCATTTCAAGAACCTCACTATTGAGAGAAAACAATCGCTTTACAGATACAATTTACCTACACATCTATTCGTGTTTTTCGTGACTTGCATCAACATTGACCATGACTGTGCAAGTTTCTCACTAAAAAACAAAAAACTGTACAATACAGATGGTCGAAATTGCAAGCACATCATCAGGCAGGAAAAAATCGGGAACCGTCGGCACTTTCCATAAAAGAGAAAATAGTGAAGGCGGGAAATTACTTTCCCAACAACGCGGAACTATTTGTCTGAGGAAGAGGATTAAGTTCCACACAAACCGGATATTGGTGTTTGTATCGCGATGAGGTTCATTTTCCTGATTCTTTATATATCATTATCCGTCTCCTTCGACAATATCTGTATCGTAAAACCAACTAGGTAAAAGATATTGCTACAGTCGTATTCTCTTTTCCCAACCGCCCAACCCGTCCAACTCTCTGACACAACGCCCTTCACATGTCACTGATGGTAGGAGAAGAGAAACGAAACTCATGGCTTAATTAATTTAGATGTCCAATGTCAGTTCCAATTAGCCCAAGGTACCATTTCACATTTGAGATGACAAAACAGAGGTGGACAAGTTATAGTAATACTACTTTCAAATTTCATATTATAAATAAATAGCTCCATGGGGCAAATGAAACTCTGGTTACATAATTTAACACTTTTGTAGCATTGTCGAGTGACATTCAGGCAGTAGACAATAATTTGTACCTGTAATAAGAAATTGATCAGCCATCTGCATATTAAAACGTGCTTCTGATTGGTCAATTAATGTGTGATTCACCGCCGGACTTAGGTCTCCAAAACAATTATAGTTATGTACATTTCATGTCCGAGTCTAATTTGCTTTCATCTGACTCACCATACAACAGACGGGTGACGAATGATCATTAATTAGCCGTCTGTCCCTAATGTTGACGACGAATCTTTACATTTGGCGCCATTTTGTACACGTACATGTACCATACAAACATCAACGTTTTAAAATTCGTTAATGGCTTTTCCGTTAAAAAAGTATTTTGGAATTTGAAATATTTTAGTATTGATACTAATGGGAGGGAGTGTCTGAATTAAAATTTACATTGATGATCTATATTCGGCGCATTGGTATTTAATTTGCATATTTTTTTGTTAAAGCTAGCGTTTGCAGGTAAAAATCACAGGTGAATGCACGATTGTCATTAATACATCTTTTTTGTACTACAACACATTTTTAAATGCATGGCTATGTAGTTGACATGTACATCGTTTGTTAAACCACAATTACCATCTGCTTTAAAACAGAAAGACAGATGTTCAATGTCGGTTAAGTATGAAACTTAGACTTGCTCAAGTTCCTTTTGTATCAATATAAAATATTACATCGTGTATAAGAAATTAGTGTCTCAAATAAAAACTTGGATACTTATGGAAAATTCGAAGGAGGCTTAGCATGTTAACGATTTGGAGGGAAATAAATTGAGGAATTTCGTGTATGTTGAAAGTGCCACTGTGTATGTTTGTAGTATAGAATGCGAATGACTCCAGGAAAATACAGGTAAAATGACAGGTGTATTGATGAAGTACAGATATACACCTGTAGAAAGCTCCACACGAGATATTTACAAACGTGACAGACTACCGACAGTTACATAGAGCCATGTACCTTGCAATGATAAGCCTGTATAGTTGTCTACAGTTCATGTTACCCATCCCCAAACCACTATTACTGTAACTCGTCCATATAAAGTAATCTAATTATAAGCTCAAGTCACGTGAAATTCAAATTTGAATCAATTAGCGCTCAGACTTAACTTGCCCTCGTATAATGATATGATGCATTGTTCAAATTCACGGAATATGCAATACACCACCCACTTACAATGATATGAGTCAGATGTGTATGTCAACACAAGAATCATAAGACCGCCTTATTTTTTCAAACAAAAAATATATTCAAACTCAATTAAGTCTTATTTATCATTAAATATTAAATACATATAATTGACTTGTGTCTTTATAGTCGTTCGTGAACGAAAAATGTCGATCAATGATACAATAAACACTGCATTTTAAACTGAGTTTAAAACGCGTATCAATCATGACTCACTTGGCGGTCGATTCAAACCCTATGAACAGGCCGTCTGTGTGAGTTATGGTATCTAACTTACCCAGGTAAAAGCTGGCTTCACACTTTGTAGATAGGGTCATAACATTTCCTCTGACAGTCTAGTCTGCTCGGAATTCAATCTGTCCATTGTTTTTGACACAGTTGTATTGTTTTACCATCAGCGGTCGATTCAAACACACGTAGACATGATTGTCGATCACTTAACAGATGTGCATACACACACATTCAAAATAGGATGAACTTTCGTGACCCCAGCAACCGCCTCAGCCGTATATTTTGTATTTATACTTCCGTTTTGGCACGCATCTTTGAATTAACATTACGTGATGAGAGTGTTGTTGTATTATTAACAATTATTTGGTAAATAGTACCTAGTAACGTTTCTATATCATGCAATCCCAATGATGTATTTATACACCCGATTGATAACAGGATATGCTTGACCTGGTGTCCATGGTAACAGGGGACGCACCTTGCCAACGTACGGTAGGATGGTTACGGTCGGTTTAATTTGCTCCCGAGAGGAAAGGTATAAAAATGTCTCGTATTTGAAAAATAGCTACACCATGCCTAAAGACCCGTATGTATCAGTGTGTAGACATAATGTAATTGTACATATCTTCAGTATACTTCCTGCCCTAAATAAATGTTCGTTACAAGTTTAAAATCAAACAAATACATCATAGTTCGTTTGTTAAATTATGCGCAAATGTACATAAATATAAACTTCAATAGGCATGCTGAATCTGTAAGACACATGGACGTAAATTTATATTGTTCAAAGTCGTACCAAACGTTTATTTACAATGTAAAGAATTGAGTCTGAAGAAAACATAAAATTTCAACCCGGTATAAGACAGGGAGGCTTGTGAGCACCTTTGTAAGGCACAGAAGGGGGTCCAGGATGGCACCTTGCTTTAATATGAAGATACGACACCCAAAACACCGTCGGCAGTCCAGAATATCTATAGTAAGTGATGGACTTGCTTTTTAATACAGAAAGTTAACATTTTTAAGATTTTTGTCATGTCATACACGTACTATTGACTCCCTCTGAGTTGACTGACACCATGTCCATTGCTGTTTTGGAAAAGACATTTCGTCGGTAAGAAATTCATTTGGACGAATTGGCAAATTAATTATTGAGACATCCCGCCCGCCCATTGTGAACATTTACAACATTTTATACTTGGATAACATATATATTCTTGATGAAGTAATCTGTCGGTTTAGAAACAACGTTAAACAATAAAAGTGCTTGCGTCAAGTGAGCATTGCTTTTATCATTGTATTAATGTATATTAAGATATATATGTATGAAGTAAAAGATGTGTTTCTAACATGGCTGCGTAATTAAGACGTATTCCCCTGACTTAGATCACCGAACAGATGAAAACTTAATGCATGAAAGACTGACGACACAAGGATTATAAAAACACTAATTGATCAGTAAATTGTTCTTCATCACCTCCAAATTTGGCACTGCTGCAATAAACAGAACTAGCAAAATAGTATGTTTATCGTCAGATTTAATTACGTAAATCAATTGTAAAAAAATATGTTTTCAAAACATTTATCAAAAGTGACGATGCTCCGAACACTTCAAAGTAATCAAATTATTTGCGTATCGTTGTGGGCCTACTTTATCATCATAAACCAAACGTTCGATGATAAAACTGTGAATTATGCTGTAATTAATTGGAGTAGTGACAGGAAAACCGCACAGAGCGATGATTTCTATCGATTTTTACACTCAGACGTTTTTTATGGTTTGGTTGTGTCTCGGTAGATTGTATTGCTACTCAAAACACATGATTCCATCCCATAATAGTCCGTATATGATGCAGTGCTGGTCATACACCAAAATATTATGCAAATGTATATGGTGTCATTATATCGCGAACATCAACACTCTCGCTGATTTAACGTTTACTAAAAGTGTCCACGAAAAAATCCCAATTCAAACGATTAACCAATACGAAACATACACACAAACACTAAGACACATACACACAAATACTAAGACACATGCACACAAACACTAAGACACATGAACACAAATACTAAGACACAAGTACACAAATACTAAGACACAAGTACACAAATACTAAGACAAATACATACAAATACTAAGACACATACACACAAATACTAAGACACATGAACACAAATACTAAGACACAAGTACACAAATACTCAGACACATACACACAAACACTAAGACAAATACACACAAATACTACGAAAAATACACACAAAGACTAAGACACATACACACAAATACTAAGACACATACACACAAAGACATACACACAAACACTAAGACATATACACACAAACACTTAGACACATGAACACAAACACTAAGACACATGAACATAAACACTAAGACACATACACACAGATACTAAGCCACATATACACACAAACACTAAGACACAAGATCACAAACACTAAGACACACACACGCAAATACTAAGACACATGCATACAAACACTAAGACACATGAACACAAACACTAAGACACATACACACAACCACAAAGACATATACACACAAACACTAAGACACATGAACACAAACACTAAGACATATACACACAAACACTTAGACACATGAACACAAACACTAAGACACATGAACACAAACACTAAGACACATACACACAGATACTAAGCCACATATACACACAAACACTAAGACACAAGATCACAAACACTAAGACACACACACGCAAATACTAAGACACATGCATACAAACACTAAGACACATGAACACAAACACTAAGACACATACACACAACCACAAAGACATATACGCACAAACACTAAGACACATGAACACAAACACTAAGACACATACACACAAATACTAAGACACATGCACACAAACACTAAGACACATGAACACAAACACAAAGACATATACACACAAACACTATGAAATACATATCACAGCGCCATTAACACACTATGAAGGACATATAGGAGCAACTTATTGTCAATGTGAAAGTTTTGAAAGGACTTACAATGTAAAGAGTCTACCTTTACATTTTATCGTAAGTTTAACAAACTATGCGAAAATGTATCCAGAAATTTTAAAACAAAGTATAATTGTATATAGATATCGTGAAATCAATCCTAGGCGAATACTTCGCTTTAACAACGTGCTCGAAAATAATTACTTGCGATAACTAGGTGATATGGAGTAAGTCTGGGCACAGTAAACAGTAGTTCTTAATTTGTTCAAATGCAGTAAGCTCAAGTTAAAACAAATGTCACCCCTGCAGGTGGGGGGTCGGGAAAAGAATACACCTGCTGTTACCCATTGCATATATCGTAGGAGGCGACTATTGTGCGAACCCCCTGCATAATTGGGGATTTACTTTGATGTCCTCTATTTAGGGACACAAAAGCGACCAACATTAATCTGCTTCACCCATTGCAATATTTGGGATCTTTATCTGTCTTTCTACTTCTAACTACCTTCTATTTCCTAGCGCCTTGCTTGGCAACACCTCTCTGTTGGCTTGAAAGACAATGGGTTCTGTTCCCAGGCCGGGACATACCAAAGTATGGTGACGTCCGTTAACGGAGTGTTGTATTATATATATGACATCTATTCTACACATACAATTTATTCATTGAAATGAAGATTTTTGGTCATCAATGTGATATTATTGATTTTAAAAAAAGTATCATTATAAGAAATCGTAGTTACAGGTAACTAGGTCAGCTACACGTAGAACAGGTATTGTTCATTCACAAGTCTGGCACGGCAGTCTGGGGGATGGTGAGGAAACAGTGCCAAACAACACAGGGGGAGTCCTGGAACATGGCTGTACGGAGATGTCAGTATATACAACTACTTTCACCAGCTGCTGGAACATCTCACTTTAACTCCGGATAGATTCGATTACACGCTGTAAATATAACAGTTTTCCCAAAAGATCTATTTTGCATTTTTCGAGAAAGCTTTATTCTTGGGTGAGCAATATAAAATGTATCGAAAAGATATTACACTCAAGTCGAAACAGATTAATGAATAGCGCTATATTATAATTAGTTTAATTTTCGCACAGAATATATTTGGTTATTGTTGTAATATATTATTTCAATGTGCCACACTATTTCTGGTTTGTCCCTATACCCCATGGACATCACCAACCTCTCGGCCATTCAGTAATTCATGGGATCATATTGTTATCCCTCTCTCACGTGTTTTTGACGCTCCAAGTTGGTCCCTCCTGTCTTACGTTTCATTACTGACTGCCTCATCAACAAATCCCACAGCACTGTGAGTTTTACTTACCGATCAGAGAGCGGAGTAATCAAAGATGACACGGTTATGTGTATATTGTGACAGTGTGTCCTAGCAGGGGAGACAGTGACGCACTTCTCGGGACAATTCATTAATTAACAAACAATGCATATTGCATGTACGGGCATATAATGTAAATGGACTCAATATAGAAGGGAAACAGAAACAAAAGCATAGACACGTACGTAAATATGTCTACTTCATTGTGTTATTGACAATGTAAATTCTGTTAAGGTAATGTTGACGCAAACGAAGATAATTTACCCCCTAGGGTAGGGGTATGGACAGGACA